AAATATTCTGATGTTTATTCCTCCAATTTTTTTAGAGCTCTTTATCTGGAACGAACTGGAAGCCAGGGGAATGGGGACTCCTTGATGGAGTACATGCACATAGGTTTTATAGGGCAGAGAACTGGGAAATGAAGGGTAGAAATGCATCTGGAGGGGGAAATGAAAGCTATCTGGAATATTCTACCCCTTTTTTCCCTATCAACCTACAACCTTTATTTTGTTTTTCACGTGGGTGAAGAAAATGTATGCACCCAACACAGGAAATGTACAAATTCTCATTAACTGCCTTGCTCTTGTGTGGTGTTCTTTTTGTAACATTGCAACCAGAAGTTAAAGTATTAGACTCCAGTATTTTATATTCTTCATATATTGGTGTTGCTGTTCTTCTTTGAGCAGGACTATGGGGAAAAGAGTACTAAGACGGGTCCCATTGAACTCCTGGAGTTCAATGTATTGTCCTTGTCCTCATTCTGTAGCAGAGAGTCGGGTTCCTTTGATTCTAGGCAGTTTAATGACTTCCTTATCTACCTGTTGGTTTAGGGACATAAAGAACCTCAGATTCCCGATGAATCAGAAAATGACCATGTTTCCTGGTGGAAGCATTACTCTCTTGGACATTAGGACCTCAAGCCCACAAAGTCAAAGGTTTTGAGGAGAAGAAGTAAGAATTCAAGTGGATTATTAGGTATAAAAATAAGAATGGTCATATTCACCTACATCCATTAGTTCCTGAATCTATGCATTCTCTACAGCAGAGATGGCACTACACATTTGGCTGCTGATGTAAGGCAAAAATTCACAATTTATGGACAGAACTCTAATCCCTCAGGGTGTAATCTCTTGGCTTGTACCCTGGCTGAGTCTCATCAGGGGAATCCAAGAATTGCTTCTATGAAGGGGCAAGTGATTTGATCCATGGATTTTATGATTTGAGCCGATTGTCTCACTTCCTTTACTGAAAAATGATTTGGGGGTAGTTTTTCTTTTTGTTTTTTGGTCAGTCTTACTCTGTCACTCAGGTTGGAGTGCACTGGCACACTCATGACCACTGCAGCCTCTACCTGCTGGGCTCAGGTGATCCTTCAGTCTCAGCTTTCCAAGTAGCTGAAACTACGGCATGTGCCACTGCACCTAGCTAATTTTTTGATTTTTTTCTAGAGACGAGGTCTTGCCAAGTTGCCCAGGTTGGTCTCAAACTTCTGGGCTCAGGCAATCTTCTCGCCTTGGCCTTCCAAAGTGATGGGACTACAGACGTGAGCCATCATGCCTGGCCTTCCTCCTTTTTGTTCTTTGTCTTTCTTGTCTTTTTCCTCCTTTTATTCCTCGTTTTGCTCCTCCCTCTCTTACTCATCTTTGCTCACCTTCTTGTCCTCATCCTCTTCATTGTTCTTTTTGTTTTCTTTTGCCTTCTCCTCCACATGCTCCACCTTGTCCTCCTCCTCATCACCTTCTTCCTCTTCCTCATCCTCTTCTTTGTACTTGTCTTTCTCCTACTCTCTTTTCATTCTACTCTTCCCTCTGCTTGTCCTTCCCCTCTTCCCACATGCCTCCTTTCCAACCACTTCCTCCTATTCTGCAATGATCCCACTTACTTTCTCCGTTTTAATTTATTAGTACTTTTTTTTGTTTTCTCCCCTCCAATTTTTGTTCAGATTCTAGTCTCCCCTTTATTTTTATAACTCTGGTGCATGATACTTCCCCCCCCGCCATTCTGATTGCTTTGCACTTGGCTTGACTTTCATTTCCATTAATAACTAAGGTGAGAAGTGTCAAAAACCTTGCTGATGGTTACACAGTAATTCTTGTCAGAGCTAAGCTAGAACTCAGTTCTGGATTTCAGACTTACGATCTTTTCATTGGATTAGGTTGCCTCATCATGGCTGAGGATAAAAATAGCCTCGCCTTTAGGGTAAAAGTCAGACAAGGAAATACACAAAAAACAATAGCAACAGCAAACAACAATTTAAAAAAAGACAGGGAGCGAGAATATTCACTGACTTAACTAGAGGAACTTGAATTTAATGTTCTCTCTGCTCAGTGATTTAGTTCCAGGTGAAGAACAAAAGAAGTCTTTGGAAATGTTTGCCTACTTTACTTTGTTCCAAATCAAAAATGTGTAATTCGTACCCTACCCAATAGTGTCATTTCGGACTTAAAAGCTCCAACAGCTGATATGAGGAATAGTAAATAGAGTCAATAATATCTGCACTTAGAGGTAAGGGAATCATGCCTGATTTATTAATTTCTTTTGCAGAATTAAAGATGTTTGAACATAGACTTTCTGTGAAATCAGGTAGTCAAGACTCGGTTTTGTAGCCTTTTCCCTAAATCATCACAAGTAAATAAGGAAATTATAAATATGTGATTAAACCAAGTTACAAGATGAAAACAACTGCGTCAATTCAAAATAGTCTCATTAAGTGTAGCTTGGCAGTAAGTTTTGCAAAGCCCAGGTCACTTCTTTTATGGCTTTTCCCAGGACTGTCTTTTTTTCTCCTTCAGCAGTAATTGCTTTCTGCTCTGGGACATTTTTTACCTATGCTACCCATTTCACCCATGCTACATTATGACTGTTTTTGATGTTGTGCATCTAAGATTTATTTTATTATATTTTATTATTTTATTTTATTTTATTTTTGAGTTGGAGTCTCACTCTGTCTCCCAGATTGGAGGGCAGTGGCACGCCCCCAGCCACCCAGCAGGGCTCCGGCAATCCTTCTGCCTCAGCCTTCCAAGTAACTGAAACTACAGGCATGCGCTACTGTGCCTGCCTAATTTTTTTGATTTATTGTAAAGTGAGGTCTTACCAAGTTGCCCAAGCGAGTCTCGAACCTGCGGGCTCAGGCAATCCACTCACTTCAGCCTTCCAAAGTGCGGGATTACAGGCTGAGCCACCGAGCCCAGCTTAAGATCCCTTTTAAGACAAGATGGAAATCTTTTTATTCAGAGGAGATTTGCTTCCTAAAAATAATTTAGACACTTATTCTAATGTTGTTTCAAGTGTTTAGAATACTTTTTTGAGAGGAGGAGTAGTTCTTGTGAATGGCCTTCAGATCCTATTACAGACAAGCATCTCCCTACCCTATAAGTTTGGAGTAGTAAATCACTGTTAGTAAAAATGCCCCTTTGTATCTCTGGGCAAATCACCAAACTTTGTGTGTTTAAATTTTTTCCACAATAAAATGATAACAGTCACACTTGCTTCATAGAATTGTTCTAAATGTATTAAATATGTGAAATGCTAAGAACAGTGCCTAGTACATTATAAATACTATACGCCGTTGCTATTACTATTTCTGCTACAACTACATCAGCAATGACGATGACAGTGATGATGACCACGATGACTACTATTAACAGTTCCCTCTCCTTCTATATTAATTTAAAACTTTATTTGCTCCAAATGACTTTTGGCTGTGCCTATAAACTAGCAAAATTTCTAAAGATACAGGTTTGCCCTAAGGACACAGTGAAGAGCTGTATTACAAGAGCTAATGTAAATTCTGAAATTATTGGTCTCCAAAGTGTTTTAAGCAATAAAGTGTAGCTGGAGTAAATGTAAAACCTTTTAGATGATTACTCTGAAGGAAGGCCCTCTCCGCTGGCAATAGTGCTTTTTTTTTTAAAGTCAGTCATATACTTTATGTCTTGTTCTCCAACGTAAATACACCTCTTGAAGATAGAAACTGTGTTTTCCACTTCTGCATATTTTCCAAGGCACTCAGCAGTATTTTACAAATTGCAGGTGTTCAATAAATATGTTGATTCGCTTCTTAGGTAGAGGTGAGAGGAAGAGAATTAGGAATAAAATGTTCTCCAGTTAATTGCAAACTGATTTCCTACTTAAACATGAGTTTGTGTTTTATCTTTCTACAACTTCTGGAAAATGCTTTAATGATATTTGTCATTTGATTTTGTATAATTTTGTTAATTTTATGGAAATCTAAATTCCCACAGAGAGTCTATCATAGGATTTTCTATTTTTATTATTGTTCAAAAATGGAAAGAAATGTTAGTGTAAAAGCAGGCCTGCTTCAATTACATTTAGTGAAATTTGTTAAGAAAATGATAGAAATTTAGAGCTGGACCATGTGTGGTGACTCAACTTGTAATCCCAACATTTTGGGAGGCCAAGGCTGAAGGATTGCCTGAGGCCAGTAGTTTGAGACCACTTTGGACAATAGAGCAAGATCTCATCTCTACAAAAAATTTAAAACTATAAAAAAAATTAGCCAAGCATGATAGCACATCCCTGTAGTCCTACCTACTTGGGAGACTGAAGCAGGAGAGTCAAAAGCCCAGAAGGTCAAGGCTGCGATGACCGAGGATTTGTGCCACTGTACTCCAACTTGGTTGACAGAGTGAAGCCCTATCTCTAAAAATTAAAAAAAGAAATTTAGAGCTGGTAGGGACCACATTGTTATAGCCTAAACACTCCCACATGATACCTGGAACAGAGTGGATATGCAAATACAAGTTGTTGGAAAATAAAGTTAGTACATTCTCTTCATTTCACAGTTGAAGAAACTGACTGTGATAACTTGCTCACAGTGGCATAGGAAGAATTAGAACAAATGTTCCTGATGTCATCATGCTTTAATTGTGGATTTCATTTTCAAATTGTAACATGGAAAATACTTTAAATTTAGTCTTTGAATAACTTTCTTTATTTTGATGTAAGTGTATACATCAGATTCTTCAGTTAATATCTGTTACATTTTAGAAAGGCAGTAGGAAGAACTTGTTCAAGTCAAAAGTGTTATTTTAAGAGGAAACTCAAGTAAAATATTTGTAGGGGCTTGTTGAAGGTTTGCCAATTGATTAATCTCTCTTCCCTGTTTTCTTTGCTCTGTTTTGTATTACTAGGGTTTCTTAGCTGCTATGAAAGACTTTCTGTTGAAATAATTTGTCTTTCCCAAGACATAATCTATCTCTTACCTCTCTTTATTTCTTAGACTTTCAAGAAATGTTAGTTATCATGTTGTTGATTTTTCTGCTAGGATGGAAAAAAGGAGTCAAGTTCATGTACCTGTTTGAAGGGACCCAAACTGTCAGAAATAGGCACAATTGCCTGGATGATAACACTCAGTGATGCCCTCCACAATTTCATCGATGGTCTAGCTATTGGAGCTTCCTGCACCTTGTCTCTTCTTCAGGGACTCAGCACTTCTATAGCCATCTTGTGTGAGGAGTTTCCTCATGAGTTAGGTAAGGGGCTCTGTTCATATTGTAAAAGTCGATTTGCTCCTTGGTTTCAGTGGAATGTGGCATTTCAGGGGACACACTCTTAAAACCCTGCTGATGTGCTGAAATGAAGGAACCCTTGTTGGACATTGATGATTATTTTTTATCTCATCTAAAAATAGAAAACCTGTTCACTTGATTTTTCCTTTTTCTTCTTCTAGGGGACTTTGTGATCCTACTCAATGCAGGGATGAGCACTCGCCAAGCCTTGTTATTCAACTTCCTTTCTGCCTGTTCCTGCTATGTTGGGTTGGCTTTTGGCATTTTGGTGGGCAACAATTTTGCTCCAAATATTATATTTGCACTTGCTGGAGGCATGTTCCTCTATATTTCTCTGGCAGATATGGTAAGAAATTACAAAATTTGTTTTCATTTAAAATTTTAAAATGAAATTTAAAACATTTTTTATAATGAACATCTGGGTTATGAATTGACTAAGGGTAGCATTTCATAGCGTGGAAGACCTTTTTGTTGTAATTCAAAACATTCTCATTTTAACAGATTATTCTTCATGAGTAATGCACACTAATAGTAATTGGAAAATGGTCCTCACTGAGTCTTAATCTATGATCTTATTGATAGGTGGTAAAATGATTTGTTTTTGCTGAAGTGGAGATTCCTTCCTAGGTGTTCTTTTGCCTCGTGGCTGGTAAATATTGTCTTTTATTATAGTATGTCTCTCCACTCTTTTGTTAGAATGTCATAGTTGGAGGAGGAATAACTTGTTACAATAAATAGCATGTTGTTATTTAAATGTTCTAAACACCTCTTTTTTGGTTAAATTTAAACTGGTCTACTAAAATTTGTAACATTAAAATTAGACAAGATTTACTTGGATCAGGAAGTATTTATATTTATATTTATGTCTATGCAGTGTCTATGTCTTCATATATATCTGTGTGTGTATGTGTGCATATGTGTGCTCATGTGAATGTGTATATATATATATATATATATATATGAGAGAGGATATCCTGTGCATTTTAAAATGAATCATGGACAGCTAACTTTCTAAGAAATAAGAACGTGATAGTGTATGAAAATCAAGGAATATTTTTGCATTTGGAACTGAATGTATTGTGTGTATAATTTAATAATTTAATTTCCTTCATCTTAGCTCCAAATTATAGTTGGCTAGCTCTGTCTTTTGTTCTTTGCAGACCCTTGTAAGAACAGAGATTGCATCTCCTAGAATGAAATCTATCTTCATTTACTGAATTAATGTTTCACACTGTCTTTATTCTAAGTGGGACCTTCTCCTTCCTCTGAAATAAGAATATAATCTATTAGAGCTGTTCAATTTAAAAGAATAATACTAATAAATGATAGTGTATATATTTTAAAGCAACTTTGCTCAGAATAGTTTCAGTTTCCACCCACTTTATCCCAGCAACAATGATCTCAAGTTAGACATATGCAGACCTCTGGGATGCTTTGGTAGAATGCACCACAGCAAATATGTAGAATATGTTTTAAAAATCTAGCATTTACAGATCTCCTTATGTAGCCTTTTCAGTAGTTATTATCTGCTCAGAAAGGGTAGATTTTAAGTGAAATGCTTAGGGTCCTAGTTGCTTTCTGAGATTCATATAGTCTTCAGTCCTAGAGCAGTGCATAATTTATTAAAAACCTTAGAATTTTGTGATGGTACAGCAAGAAGGGAACAAATAGAAGAAATCAAGAATTAAATGTATAGTTATTTTTAACAAAATTATGTAATCAGCTACTGTTGATATGTTTTCAGGCCTGAAAATCTGTCTGGCACTGGGGACCTTAGAGTGAGCAAACAGTTCTTGCATTCATAGAACTTTCTGGAAAGAGGGGACCCTGAAATTAAAGAAACAAACGATCCCCCACCCTGATAACTAAATAATTACAAATAATAAAAATACAGTGAAATAAAAGGAAAAGCATTATGTATAATGAGAGATAGTAGTAAAGGAATCTAGTATAAATTAAGAGGAGCTAAGGGAAGTGTTTTAGGAAAGTATGATTTAAGGTGAAACCTGAAGGATTCAGTCCACTGAAAATCGAGGCAAGAAGAGTTCAGATAGAAGTGATGGCAAGTGTGAAAATTTTGAGGAAGGAAAGCGGTTAGATTGAGGATATTCTTTAAGGATAAAGAATGGTGTAGATGGAGCACAGAGAGCAAAGAATTGAGAGAGAGAGAGAGAGAGAGAGAGAGAGAGAGAGAGAGAGAGAGAGAGAGAGATTGTGAAGAGAAAACATAAAATGAGGTAAGTTCCATCTCACTGACTGACTCTATTGGAAAAGAACACTATCAGTACTTTTACTCTTGTCGATGCCTGAAAAGGCTAGATATTCCTTTAAACCTATCTATATTAAGACCTTTAATCATCTAAACATAAATGATATCTCCCCTCTCAGAAATTTATTACAGGCATACATCATTTTATTGCACATCGCTTTATTGAGTTTTGTGGATATTGCATGTTTTGCAAATTGAAGGTTTGTGTCAACCCTGTGCCAAGTCTGCCAGCCCCCTTTTCCCGATAGCATGAGCTTCCTTCCTGTCTCTGTCACATTTTGGCAATTCTTGAAGTATTTCAAACCTTTTTCGTTATTTTTGTAGCTGTTAAAGAGATCTGTAATCAGTGATTTTTTCTGTCTTTCTTTTCTTTTTTTTTTTTTTACAAAGGCCTTATATACAGAATAATTTAAAATACCTTGCAAATCAACAATAAAATGATGAACAATTCAATACAATGTTGGCAAAAGACATGAACAGACATATGAATGGTCAATAGGCACTTGAAAATGTGCTCAATATTGCTATCCTCACATAAATGCAAATTTAAATACATAAGATACTATGTCAATCCCACTAGAAAGTTACTGTTACAAGTGTTTTGAGGCCGCAATGAACTGCATTGCAGAGGAGACAGCAAACATAATCAATAAATGCTGTGTGAGTACTGCCTGCTTCATCTACTGGCCGTTCCCTCATCTTCCTCCTCCTCAGCCCTCCCTATTCCCTGAGCTACAAAAATATTGATATTAGGCCAATTAATAACTCTACAATGTCCCCCAATCATTGATGTGGAAGGAAGAGCTGCACATCTCTCACTTTAAATCAAAAACTATAAATGACTAAGCTTAGTGAGGAAGTCATACTGAAATCCCAGATAGACTGAAAGCTAGGCCTCATATGCCAAACAGTTAGCCGAGTTGTGAGTGTATAAGAAAAGTTCTAGAAGGAAATTTAAAGTGTTACTTCAATGAGCACATGAATAAGAAGAAAGTGAAACAGGCTTACTGCTAAAATGGAGAAAGTTAGAGTGATCGGGATAGATCAAACTACCCACAATATTCCCTTAAGCAGAGCGAGCCCCTCTCTTAAATTCCATGACGACTGAGAAAAATAAGGAAGGTGCAGAAGAAAAGTTGAAAGTCAGCAGCAGTTGGTTCATGAAGCTTAGGAAAAGAAACCATCTCCATGACAGAAAAGTGCAAGGTGAGGCAACAAGTGCTGATGGAGAAGCCGCAGCAGGTTATCCAGAAGGTTTAGCTAAGATCATTGATGAAGTTGGCTATTCTCAACAATAGACTTTTAATATAGATGAAACAGCCTTCTATTTGAAGAACACGCCATCTAGGATTTTCTTTTTTTTTTTTTTGAGTTGGAGTCTCACTCTGTCGCCCAGACTGGAGTGCAGTGGCAGCTCCCGGCCACCGCTCCCTCGACCTGCTGGGCTCCGGCGATCCTTCCGCCTCAGCATTCCCAGTAGCCAGAATTACAGGCATGCGCTACCACGCCCGGCTGATTTTTTGTTTTATTTAGAGATGAAGTCTCGCTGCCCAGGCGGGTCTCGAACCCGCGGGCTCAGGCAATCCACTCACTTCAGCCTCCCAAAGGCACGGTATTACAGGCTGAGCCACCGAGCCCGGCTCATCTAGGACTTTCATAGCTAGAGAGAAACAGTCAAAGCTTCAAAGGACAAGCTGCTTTTCTTATTAGGGGCTAATAATTTTGAGTTGAAGCCAATGCTCATTTACCATACCAAAAATCCTAGGGCCCTCAAGAGATATGTTAAATTTACTCTGTGCTCTAGAAATGGTATAACAAAGCCTGGATGATAGCACATCTGTTTACAGCATGACTTACTAAATATTTAAAGTCCACTACCGGGACCTACTGCTCAGAAAGAAAAAAAAAATTCCTTTAAAAATACCACAACTCAATGACAGTGCAACTAGTCACCCAAGAGCTCTGATGGAGATGTACAAGGAAATTATTGTTATTTTGTGCCTACTAGCACAATAGCCATTTTGCAGCCCATGAATCAAAGAGTTATTTTGATTTTCAAGTCTTATAATTTAAGAAATACATTTTTGTAAGGCTACAGCTGATATACATTGTGATTCTCCTGATGGATATGGGCAAAGTAAATTAAAAACCTGGAGAGGATTCACCATTCTAGATCTCATTAAGACTATTTGTGATGCATGGGAAGAAGTAAAAATATCAACATGCACAGGGGTTAGGAAGAAGTTGATTCCAATCCTTATGGATGACTTTGAGGGGTTCAAGGCTTCACTGGAAGAAGTAATAACAGATGTGATGAAAACAGTGAGAACTAGAATTAGAAGTGGAGCCTGTATGGGACTAATTGCTCAATCTCATGATAAAACTTTTACAGATGAAGGGTTGCTTCTTATGGATGAGCAAGGAAAGTGGTTTCTTGAGATGGATTCTACTCCTGGTGAAGATGCTGTGAACATTTTTGAAATGACAACAAAGGATTTAGAATGTTATATAAGCATAGTTGATAAACTTTTAACAAGGCTTGAGAGGATTGCCTTCAGTTTGCAAAGAAGTTCTACTGTGGGTAAAGTACTTTCACACAGTATTGCATGCAACAGATAAATCTTTTGTGAAATGAAGAATCAATTGATAGAGCAAACTTCATTGTTGTCTATTTTAATAAATTCCTACAGCCACTTCAGACTTCAGCAACTACCACCCTGTTCAGTGAGCAGCCAGCAACATCGAGGCAAGACCCTTCATCAACAAAAAGATTATGACTTGCTGAAGGATAGGATGATTGGTAGCAATTTTTAGCAGTAAAGTGTTTTTAAATTAACGTATGAACATTAGTTTTTAGACATCGTGCTACTGCACACTTAGTAGACTACAGTATAGTGTAAACATATCTTCTATATGCATTGGGAAACCAAAAAGTTCATGTGACTTGCTTTATGTCGTTGCTTGCTTTGTTGTGATATTGAACCAAATCCACATTAAGAATGTGTGTTATGAAGTGTGCCTTTAAATGACTGTTTTATGTTTTGCCACAAGATGGCAACAGTTATCTAACAATATATTTGTCTTCTAGTTTCCAGAGATGAATGATATGCTAAGAGAAAAAGTAACTGGAAGAAAAACCGATTTCACCTTCTTCATGATTGAGAATGCTGGAATGTTAACTGGATTCACAGCCATTCTGCTCATTACCTTGTATGCAGGAGAAATCGAATTGGAGTAATAGGAAATGGAAGATTAAAAGGCATTAAATGGATAAAAACATCTCCAAAAAGGGATTTTTAAAGCTGATGCTATTTAGTTAAAAGATAATTTTGTTTTCAACTATAGGTCAAGAAAACTAATTATTGGTTTCAGTCTGTGAAATAGGCTATTGTTTATTGTGGTTCAACTGGTATATGGGAGTCTTTGGCAAATAAACATTTATCAGGTGTTTCATGCATATTAAACATCATCATGAAGCAAGAGACATGCATTCTATAATCATGTAGACACCTAGACCTGGAGAAAAATACAACTATATCCTGAAAACCTTAAAACACTATGGCAGGATCAAGGATTCAAGTGATTTCAGAGTGGTTTTTTTCCAAATAATTTGTTCTACTGCTTTCAAGAGCAAGTACATCAAAATGTGGAAGATAATAAAAATGTACACCGCACTAATATAAATGATTCCAAGACTTTAAGCAGCCCAAGAAAGAGTTCTCACAACTTTTTGTTTAGTTTTGTATCTCAATTAGGAACTTACAGGTTTGTTTTGAAAGACACTCTAAAATAATATGAATTAGGAAATAGATAAAGTTTTGCTAGCCCTACTAAGTTCAGACTTGCAGGCTTATCCCTAAGTATAATCTCTACCAGATTCCATGAAAAGCCAGAATAGCTTTTTTTCTGACTTATATTGTGGTTGTCTCCCTCACAAATGGCAGAACAATATGTAAAGCTGGTGACAACTCAGTTTCAGGGCACCATGTGTTTGCTTTGAGAAGGTGAAGAATATGTTGGCTTAGAGAAAGAAATTGAATGTAATTTTAAGCAATTTACTCTTAAAGATGAACACAATTATTTGGCAGAGAATATTTTAATAAATGCAAAACAACAGCTGGACTGCTGTACAGAAAGGACTGATTAGCTAGAAGCCATATGTTCCTTATGTGTGATTGAGAGTCATTCAGAAAAGACTTCTTGTTTGTTCAGCCTACATTTTTCCATGTTTTCCATGTAAACCCTGGAAAAAATTAGCACACCATGATTATTTTTCTACCTTTTATACAAAAGTCTGTTTACTCATTTAACAGATATAGAAAATTGGTCTAAAATTGAATATCCTAACCCCAATTTACACTCCCAAGTCACATGAGGAAAGATGATTTGAAAGCGGGGAAAATGATTGATAAAAGCCAGCCGTGATCTCAGGAATTACATTTTCCCACAGATCAAAAAACGTTCTCACATAGCAGTAATGCAGATTTGATGAATATTTAACATGTATGCTAATGTATATTTCACTTCATGACTGACAATTTTTTAAAAGTATTGTTTAATCAAATAGTAAACACCTTTGAAACCATGTATCGCCTCATTAATTATTTATTTAATAGGTATCTTTTTGAGTGACCACCACGTACCTGGTATTATGGGAGAGAGATAAAAACAGGAAATTGGTGATGTGTTTAGACTAAACCCTACCATCATTTATTTCTGTAGCAGTTGCTTAGCAAAGTCAACATGAGAATCCACTATTATAACAGTCCCTGAATAGTATTATTATAATGATCTTTAATTGCTTAGTAATACCCTACTGAATTAGGTATTTCTGCTTTATCACATCTACAGGAGTTTTTTTTTTTTAACAAGGAGCTTAAATTTTAAAAAAGTGAACTGGTTGAGAAGAACCAAAACAGCACTGTGAATTTACCAGACAGTGCATTCCTATCACCAGAGCTAATTACTGATGGCCTGTGCCAGGGGAGCAGTAATTGGCAGTCTGTTCTCCACGCTCTGGTTGGCATTGTCTTTCCTTAGGTCTCACTTTTGTTTTTTATTAAGAGGCTACCATGATTTTCAGACTTCGGTGTTTACTTAAGGTCCATTACAGTACAAGAGGTTCTTAAAACTATAATAAATAAATTCTCTAACACTCATGTTATTACTACAGCTGCTTTCTCACTGACGCTTTGCCTTCCACCCAGCTGTGGGTTGCATTGCCTCTGCTAGATTGCTTTTCCTTTTGCTTTCTGTGTGGGTTACACAAAACATTCTCTCGTGGCCATTTAACTTCTCATATTGGAGGCCTCCAACTTCTATATGGCCCCAGAATGAGTGACTTCACTAGTGAGACTTAAGGTAAGGTAAGTCAACTGGATAAACTGAAAACTCCAAATACCTGTTCCATGAATTCTAAGACACACATTTTCCCCCAAATTTTAACAGTTCCAAATGGCAAGCTGTAATCACTGACAACCAGGTGGTATTGCGGAGGCAGTTATACTTGTGTGAAAATGAAAATCATCTGTTGAAATCTGGCAAGGCTAAGAAAATGCCAGTATCACTGTGTTTAGAACTTGATGGGATATGGCAACAGGGTCTTAAACAAAAAGGTTTACTTTCCTTCGTAAAAAGTGTGAAAGGATGGAAGGAGCAATGTAGGACTGGTATGGCAGTTTCATGCTCACTGGGAATCCAGAATCCTTTGATCTGTCTGCTCGGTCATGTTTAGCTTGTGACTGCCATCTTCAAGACTGCTTCATGCTCTAAGACAGTTGCTAGAGATCCAGCCTTAAAGCCTAAATTCTACATAGCAGTAAGAAGGAATGGCTAGAAAGGCAAACTGTTCACCCCCAGCTCATCCTTTATGAAGGCACTTTTCTTAGAAGTAATAGCCAGAAATCTCAATTTATATTCAATGACCAGATTTATTTACGTGGCCACACCAATCTGCAAGAGAAGCTGGGAAACATTGATTTTATACTACCAGCAACAGAATCAGGGCTCTGTTACTAAGAAGAAGCAAAAAATGGATAATGGGCAATTGGCTGCCTCAGGTACAGGTAGGTTTGTGTCAGTTTCACTTGGGAAGCTTATTATTCTGTGTGACCCTGCTACAGCCCGTCCAGGGATTTTCATAACTTATTTCAAGTCAATTCCTTGCCACCATGACTATTTCAATTATAGTAGCCCATCTGATTAGTCTTACGTTGTAACCACTATTACTATTACACACTCGTACTACATATCTCTCTAGTTGCTCTGTCTTAGCCTGTTGAGAGTACTATTTATTTATCTTGATTAAATCTTAATGTTTTCACAGGATGGTCTAAATTCTAAGGAAACTGAAACAAAACTTTTTTCTATGGACTTAGATCCTTCTGCTTAAAGTTCTTCTGATTACTGGACATGTGCAGAATTATGAAACTAAGTATTTAACAGCAGAAATAGGCTAAAATAGATTTTAAAAATCATTTATTTTCTTTCCCCCCTTCTTTTTACATGGGTTATTACAGCTGTTTAGTATGAGCAAAGTTGTAGCTGAAATGTTTGTTATTTGATTTTTTTTGTGTGTGTAGATAATTACATGGACTACTGCTGACACCAAATCTCAACTTCATTTGCTTTGGATTTATATAGTGACAATACCAAGAAAAAATTTAATGGGTAGAGCTTGCAGGTTTTAAACTTTATATATAATGACTTAATTCCTATTGCAGTGACTGTGCATATTATCCTCACTACTAGATGGACCAGTTAGTGGTAAAACCCCAAGGAGGCAATACGTGGCTAATTTATTACCATGCTTATGGTCACCAAAGTGATGTTTGATCAGGGGATGGAACATTGTGAATTACAGGGAAAAAATCTCTTAGAAATAATTCAAATTATAAATCCTTCCCTCTCAAAAATCTGAGCAAGTTTATAAAACTGGTCTCATTCTGTATTTTGTGGCAAGCTGCATCCGTGGACCCCACAGAACACTAGGTAGGGCTCGTTGCAGTCAGAACAGACACAGTGACCTGGAGTCTATCCTCCTTTCAAGAAATACAGACTCAGAGGAAGGCTGGCAAGTGACTTTGGCGGTGAAGTGAGGAGAGCTGCTGTTGTCTTGATCTTTAGCTCTAGAGTTTGTTGGGACAAAGGATACATGAATAATAATCCCTCAGTTAGTGTGAGTCAAGTAGGGAGTGAGAGATCTGGTTTAAAACAATTTAAAACTTGTGTAAGTGGGATACCATCTTGAAAACAGAGGTCAGTATGGAATGGACTTCTGGAAAATCAGGGACTGAGTCAGGTGGGGCAATTAGAGAAGTAGAGTATGTCATTGGGGAGCAGTCCTGAAGAATTCTAAAAGTGCCAATAAGAGAAAGGTTAGTCTTAAGTACCTGTCAGACAGCATGAAACCATATTTTGACAGTATCTGTCAAGTAAAAACTTTTTCATCCCTTTTTTTCCCTCTCCTCCTTCTAAACACTTAACCCCAGAGGGGCCGAAAGCCAGTTAGCAAGCAGGGGGAGTAAGGGAGAAAAAAGGATTCCTTCTCAGAAGTCTTACCTTTGAATATAAATTGAAGTATTAATTGATGCATTGGACTGGACACTTTCAGGAATTGATTTGAGACTATATATATACATATATATATATTTATTTATTTTTTTGAGTTGGAGTCTCACTCTGTCACCCAGACTGGAGTGCAGTGGCCGCTCCCGGCCACCGCAGCCTCCACCTGCTGGGCTCCGGCGATCCTTCTGCCTCAGCCTTCCAAGTAGCTAGAACTACAGGCATGCACTACCATACCCGGCTAATTTTTTGATTTATTGTAGAGATGAGGTCTCACCAAGTTGCCCAGGAGAGTCTCGAACCTGTGGGCTCAGGCAATCCACTCACCTCAGCCTCCCAAGGCGCAGGATTACAGGCTGAGCCACCGAGCCTGATGATTTGAGACTATATTTATGACTTAAAGTGATTGTAGATTTTATATTCCCCCAGAGTCCTGTGTCAGAACAGTCATTGTGCCACCTCAAATTTCATCCAGGGATAAGAAAAGGGTTGTCCAGTCCCTCTGCCCCAAGCAGAATTAAAAGGACAGTGAAGAATACAATCTAGGTTGTTTTTCAGTTTACTCTGTGAGAACTGCATGCTAATCTACTGATTATATATGCACTTTAAAATGAGTACTTATAACAACCCTATGAAATGGATTCTACTTTTAATACCAGTCCAGGATGGGGCTGAGCAGTTGCAGAGGGACTGCATTCTCTGGGTGTGGGACTGGGGCAGAGTGT